ATGATTCATCGATCATTCTTGTATGCAAATCAGAGAAAACAGGACTTGCCATCAAGTAAAAAAGCTAAGTGTTCTCCTCGTCTGGTAGCGCTGATTCTCTTTTCGGCCACATCTTGCGTTCTGGTCGTGATAGTCACAAAACTTGACGGATTGCCCTCATCTGAGAGTTCGGCTACATCGTCCAACCTCATGTCAATCAAATAAATATATCCTCTATCTGTGCCGACAGCAACAATACCGAAGAATAAATTCAACTGTGCACATAACATATAGTTTGGCGCCCTCACCCCACCAACATTGGTAACTGGTTCAATGGTGGATATCTGAAAGAACACAAAAAACAAGCTAAATTTTTGAGAGGAAATACTTAATGTAGAAGGCCAGTGATGGAATTATTTATTGAAAGGTCACTCTAAAAATAATCTTCAATCATTGATATTTAAAAATCAACCTCAAAAAGGAGGTTCGATCTTAAAAAGAATGATCAAGCTCAAAGAGGATGATTGACCTTAAAGAGGAGGACATTTCACTAAACAAGCAGCATGTGTGTTTAAGATTTAAAGACTGCATACAAAGTATCCAGGTTATTATCATACACACGAGTGATTGCAAGCCGACCATGTCAAATTACTTTTACTAAAACAATTCTGTACTATCCGGAATGCCATAATGCATATCACTTCAATCAGTGTAAAACTGTCACATTGAATTATTAGGGCATCATGATATAGCCAATGCACATTTGTCAATTAAATTGGTATGTGAACACGCTTAATCTATCATCAGCTAATACACAAGTCATCACACAGAACAAGTAATTCAACAATTCATTCCACACACGATGTATATGTTGTGTGAAATCCACATTTAACACGACTGCGACAATGTGAAGTTGAGATGCACACAAAATACAAATTACAACCATCAGACACGCTTCAAATCAAATAAATGTGGTTCTAAAAGAAGCAAATTTCATCTAGCCCAAAAAATTCACCTAAGTTAGAGAATTTAAGTTATTGTCACAAAATGAATAAGTCTGAGGAAGACCACCCAAGGTACCTTCCTGGAAAGTATTTTTTCTGCCAAAACAGTTATTTTTAATAATTTTGAACCAAATAGACATAATTTTCTATTGGTTGAAAGTCTTGATCAAAATTTTGGAACAAATATGATAAAAATTTGTAAATTGAGAATGGTGATGGAAGTGGACTTTGGCCTAAAAAGGTTAAAGAAGTTGAACATGTAAAGTTGATGCAATGATGGCCACCAATCAGTAAGGCCAGGAAAAAAAAATTCTCTGTTTCTTGTTTCATGGATATTTAAAAATGAGGCGGCTAGGTAATTTTTTTTTTTTTTTCTTTTTTGATAAACTGAGCTAAAATGAGAGAAATTTGAGACAAGTGCGAGTACAAGCGCATTTTTGAATGCTTTAAAAGGAAAAAAAAATGTCTGAGAAGCATAGTTCAAAATGATACGCGCGGAAACGAGAAACAGAGATATTTTTTTTCTCAGCCTAATATAAATCACCGCCACTGTAATATGAATTAGCACCATTTCATTAACAGTGAAGCTCAAATTATTAATTACAATTGGGTTCTCTAACTTGACCAACACATAAACAATTTTTATTTTAATACTGAATGACATCCAATAGGAATTCCAGTTACTCACCCCGTAAGGAACAGAGACAGCTGTAATGACTTTAGACACATTGGGATCAAAAACACACAGCATACCGTCAGATGATCCATACTTCAATCCAACCAGAAATTTTGTGGAATGGTTATAATGATACTCTTTGACGCAGGAGATGGTGATGCTGGTGTTGCCTGTGACGCGACCAAAACACCAAGCAGCTTGTCTGTCTCCTGTAGTAGTGTTTATGACTTCTAGCGACTGACCACGCACCAACCAAGCCCATTTGCCACCTGCGGAATAAACGTTTACTGTATTAGTTACTGTAGAATACCTTATTTTTGCTTGGAATTAATTTTCGCTATTTTCGCTGAAGGAATGATTCAGTAACTTTCCAATTTTTATTTTGGCCAAATAACTAAACACTGTTACCATACTAGTCCGACATAACACCTAGGGTCATTTTTCCAGAGGGTGGGCGCATGCATAGTGACACAATTTCCCCACATGTACATGTATATTGAGTCATTCCGGTAGGGTGCGAGGATGCTTGGATGGTCGAACTAAGTAGAACATGACCGAAAAAATAGAAATCCCCCCCCCCAGTGGAGGCTGAGCATGGTGGGTGCCATGGACAATAAAACGAACAAGCACAATCTAACTTTAATGCAATATAATATATTTATTTATTTGTTTATTTATTTATTTTTTTGACTCATTATTTGTATAACAGGAGCTGCATAATGAATCGGAAAAATGACAAATATAAGTTGTATGTGACACAGTTGTTTATCTTTAAATGTGGGTGCAATGCATACAGTTATCTCAGGTTGACGTCAGATCTTACCTTTGCACGTTCCTCCAAAGATAGCTTCATTGCTGCTTTCTACATCTCGCTCAAGAGCTTTCACGCTAGCGGCATTGTACAATAGTAAGTTAGATGTAAAGTTAGGTGTTTGCACTCGCTTCATCTTTAAGATTTATAGATTTTCTGCAAAAAAAAGAGGAAGCTATCAGGATTACCAGTACATCTTGACTCATTCTTCTTAAGAAAAAAAAACAAAAAAACATTTACATTGGAAGATGGAAAGTGAAGGCGTTGAGCAAAAAAAACCATCGAAAAGTTGCATGAAGTGATTATTTGCATGAATTGATATTCATGAGTAATGACAAAATAGTCTTCTTCCAAATGTTCATTCGATCAGACTGCTCCTTCTACTGGTATATCACACTCACAATATGCACTCATCAGTGTGCTTTCTAGCAGGACTGATTCTGTAAGGATCCTGAGTCAAAAATGGATTTGCAAAAATCTGGTTTTGTCAGATTGTTAACTGATGTGGAGAGAGATCTTCCAAAGAAAAATCAAGATTTTATGTGGCTTTAAATGACCTCTGAAGGTGCTATCGTAACAAAAATGTTGTGGCTCCTGATTTTTTTGTTTTCACAATTATTTGTTTATAAAATGTGAATTTTCTTTTACAAATTTGAATGTACAAATTTCTTAACTATACTCAAAACTCAACGATCAACAAACTGGTGCAACCAAAATATAATCATGGTAACAAGATGAAAATTAGATGTCAAATTCAAAATGTAGATTTTGAGATTTATACGACTAACTCAAAGTTCTGGCAGTGACTTGTTTATGTTTGACTCATCTGTTTGTTTCAAAAATTTGCTTTGCATACAGCTCATTTTGTTATAGCAGGATCCATGTCGTTATTTGAGTAGGCAGCTGATGACCAGATGTAAATGAATCCTGGGCTAGGTCAGGTAGAGCCCTCTGGACGCTCTAAAAAAAAAGAATTGACCGTTATTTTTTGTGATTGGTCCTGGCAAAAATTGAGGGATCATGCACGAAAACCACGACTAGCAATGTGGTCCTGTCACATCACAGTCAGGATTGCAGAAAGGTAGCCCTGCGTAAAGTGCTGTGTGTACAGGGACGCGTTCGGTTGATAGATGTCCCCACCACAGCCCTGCGTACCTCCATAGACAAAGTCCGGGAGCGCACCGTAATTGGTGCGCAAGTTAAAAATAAGTAGTTTCCCAGCCGAAATCTTTTGAAATGACGATAGTAACAGCCATTACAAAGTTATCTGAAACTGAAATGTTTTTAAATAACAACTAGTAAAGACGGTCAAATTGTAAACGCGTAGATATCTGAGGAATTATCCACCAAACGCCGCCATTTTTTATTTCATTCACGCGAGAGAATGCGTTTGTTTTTAGGGCAAAGTAGCCGATTTCATCCACAATTGAACTGGGAGTTCTGGATATATCTGGTAATCGATCATCATTTTGGGTACCTGGTCATGTTACTTCATTAAAAAAGTTATATTTTTCAAAGTCCCGGACTTTGTCTATGGAAGTTCGCAGGGCTGTGGTGGGGACATCTATCAATCGAACGCGTCTCCGTACACACAGCACTGTACGCAGGGATAGCAGAAAGGTAGTTAGCAGATCTCCGCTTGGCCACTGCATTGGATGGTTCATATGAAATGCGCCTTCCCTGGTTGGTCATAACATAGAGTGTTTGTAGGCCAAACAGGAGGAAAGCGTCCCTTTTGCATCTCCTGGGTCTGGGGGCGAAGGTTAGAGTTAGGTGAGATGCAACTCTTTCCGATTCTTCTACTCACATACTATGTGACATAGCCCCTATGTGTTCTACTCAATTTGAACCACGGGTCGAATAAGGAGCGCGCATATACAGGAGGCGCAACGAGCACTTTCTTGGCAACGCCTGCAATTTAACGTTAGAACCACTATACCTTAAATTTCCAGCTTTACTGTACACACGATGAAACAGATACAACAGGCAATATCACAAGGATTTCAGAACCACTCGTTTTGAATGGTCGGCGCCATTTTCCACGCGCTAGTAGGTAACTACGCATTTGTTCGCGCATGTTGGGCGCCCTCAACTATTCTTACACATATTCATGCTCATTTTTCAAGGCAAGGTGACTGACTCTATTTTTCTAGCGTGGTGATAATAAACTTGAATGTTCAAGCTTTTTTGAAAGTGAAATACTATGCTAATGGTAATTTGTTTAGACATTTCATAAATATTCAGTTTGAACTTTGAGCCAATCAGAATGTGTCTTTGTTTTTCGCGCTTCGAAATGTTTGCCAAATGTTGATTGGATGAAACTTTGAGATACTGCAGCAGGATTGACTGAAAGTTTACAAATGTAATTTCTTTATTGAAAACTGAGATCGAAACTAGTTCCTCACCCTGGATGCGGCGGCCTCATTTATTTCAATGTCTGTGACGTCAAAAGAGCTTCCAGCCAACAAAAGGTAAATAATCGAACTCAAGCATAAAGTCAATGTTGATATCAAGATTCGACTACTCCTCCTTCGCAAGTTCTGTGGCCCGATGACCGTGACCCCGATGCGACACCAGTAGACCTGTCTTTCGTTTGAATGAGACCATACATTCTCCGCTGTTTCCCCGAAATGTACGTTTTTAACACTGTCGCTGGCGTGGACATTTACTAAAAATAGAGGAAGCTCGTACGAGTCGTAGAAATGGAAAAGAAACTAGAAGGTACGTATACGACTTGGTAGTTGTTTTTGACAATCGTGTCAAGTTATTGCGGGTGGGGTTCTGCTGCTGCGCATATCTGGGCCATGGTCATTCATTAAGTTCAAATATAGTTATGTCTATGAAAACTTGAGAATCATTTGGTCCAATTTGAAAGACACTTGCGAAGCAAGCAGTTCGTTCCAACCAGTTTCGTGAAACGGCTGTGAAACGTCTTTGGGGGTTGCATGTTCGTCAAGTAGCGAAGTATTGTTATTAATGAGACTGTCTCAATTGATGACCATCTCAGCCACGATCTCAGCCATGACTGTTATAAAACTACCTGACACTTTTTCAGGTACCGTAGCTACCAACGCACTTTTATCGTGAGTGCAAATGTTTTTTTTTTTCTTGTTTTTTTCACTCTACCTAATTTAAAATGAACCATTTGTTATTTGTCTGCTGGCCAGTTTACAGTTTCTGTACAATAATACTAATGTCACAATTATGTGTAAATACAAAGAAAAATAAAATAGTTGCTAAAACCGTCAGGATGGCTACAAATAAAATAAAATAGACATTTTATTCTAATTTTTGTCTACATTGAATATAATTGCTTTATAATAAACGTTATTCAGTGCATAAAACAGTTCAAATATGGACATTGGCACAGATGTTAATAGCAATTACAGCCCTAATAGTGTTATGTATGTGTTACTTTACTTAACTTATATGCAGCATTTCATCTGAGCCCTATGACTCAAGCCAGCAAAAATGGCTGCGTATACGCGTTCGGCTCAAATCTAAAAGAATTATTGATAAATTTTATTCGAAAAATAAATTTGAATTACTCATGTGAAGTGATATTTTGTCAATACTGCTTGTGCAGTTCATATCAATACGTATGCAACAAAGACAGTAACACATAACTTAATTGTCTTATTTTACAACTGTATTTCTTTTTTTATTCATCCTTCTTTCATCTCTGAGGTTTGATATGTGTTACCAACAATTATTTGATTTTCCAAAGGTACACTGACCTTGGCATTTACAACAATATGGTGAAAGATTCACAACGTTTGCTGTCATGGTTTATCCACAATGTACTTCTCAGCTGAATATTATTACTTCGGTCTTTTCAAATTTGAACACCAAATTTTACTTTTGTAAAAAAAAAAACAGACATGCAAATTGTTGTTTCAAAGTTTTGTTGTGAAGAAATTATGGTCGTCACAGGGTCAACCTTTCTTTAAAAAAATGAAAACATTTTCTTCTATTCTTTTTTATCTCTGAAAATATCTGCGTAGGAGTTTTATGAGTGGGTACAATCACATTGGGAGTTGTGTCAAAGTAGGTGCTTATCTGGTTTCTGAACCAAAGTAAATAATTTCAGATTTGTCAATGATTTGTGTGTAGGTCAAAACATGGCTTTATCAATGGACCACTGTGTTGACATTAGGGTATACAACATGGCAAATAACATCTAGGTATTTATTACTATAGATCTCATAGATAGTTTTTTATTACATTTCTATATATATTTTTTTAAATTATTTTAAATATTCAAAATTATTTTTCTTGTTTCTTATGTAAGTATGCCATATTTTGTTTTTTTACAAGCACAAATAGAAGAGGACCTCAACCAAAAATTGCATTTATTGTATGTTAAATCATTAAAATGTGAACCTTATGAATGTAGCGCTCAAATAACTCCCAAACCGTCCTTACCTCAGCATGCTCAGCTGCAACTTTCCTTGAAGAGATTTATAATTCTGGAGGCTAAGAGCATTCATAAATCATCCATAAAATACTTAAAATATAATAAGTAAATTGAAAAACAAATTTACTAATTTACTCAGTCTTATGACGTAAATTGATTCAGTACTTATGTTGATTAGTTAATTAATAATCAGTTAAAAAAATAATAACAATCATTTTACATGTCTGTCTGCTGGGGATCATCGCACACAAATCATTTTGAGACAAAAAGTAACAAGGAAACATGAAAAAGAAAAGACAGTGAGAGTGAGAGTTGTTTTTCAGAACCAAAATCTTGGATGAATGTAAAGCTAACCTCTCTGTATTCTCTCTGAACAAAGGGAAATAGACTGCAGTGTTGGTTCTATATATATATATATATTTATTTATTACAGCACTGTTAATAATGGGCATACAGTGCTATTGATAAATTGCATTGTACCCAAGCATATATTTGTTTACATACCAAAAGTCTTTCCACTATAATCAAGTCTGATTAGAACACTCCTTTGTAAGAAGTCTCTTTCATAAAATTTTCAAACGCGCATATTACAAAATGTTCCAGATACCAAACTGGTAACCAGCAGTTTTTGATAGGTAAACTTAATATGGCATGAAATATTTACTGCATTTTACTTTTATTACCTGGTCGTTATAAAAACGATTACCAGTATTCGTTAAGCAATGATCAAAGACCCAGTTTTAAATTAGTGACATTTTGAAGGGGTGGGCATTTTGCCAAATGGGATCCCGAATATAAAAATTGCACAAAAGTGGGGATGGGCGCTTGACCGGGGGCATGGGCGCTAACATAGTCTAGTCCAGTAATGGCAGATATATTTTTCGCAAATTGCATGTTAAAATCGAGCGCTGCGAATTTTGTGTCAACAACCAATGTAATAGGATGCCGAGCAGCAAATGTGACACTTTGAATGCATGTTATTAGAGAACAATTTTTGACCCACTGTCTATTTAAGCCATGTTATCACACAATAATGGGCATTGCAAAGTCCTATTTTAATAATAAATCATTCAGGCTATGTCTACTGTTTTGTCAAGTATTCTAATGAAATTATGTAGAATGCATTATATAAGAAATTTAAGTTTTGCATCTACTGAGCATGTTCCTGAGCAGATGTACAATGCATTATGGGAGAAATTATTTTTTGCATCTACTGAGCATGTTACTGAGCATATGTACAATGCATTATGGGAATAATTCATGTTCTGCATACTGTGTTGTGTCATCACAGAAAGTGCTGTCTCAGCACAGACCTGTGTTATATGACGCCTTACTAGCTGATTTTGTATAAAATAGTGCTTCGCCGCCTTTTCACACTAGTGTTTATACACAGAGCTTGATATTTTTTTTATATAAGTTGCTTTTTTATCATATATTTCAGTGAAATATTTAGAAAGAGAAATATTAGTGTCATACAAAAATCAATCTTTGGAGCAGCAGAAATTAACTCATAATAACGATAATAAAATTTGTATTTGAAGTTTGAAATTTCCCACGTAATTTTAGGTTTCAACTACATAACTTGAAAAAGAACGTCCTTGAAATAATGCGTAGAATGCTTTCTGAACCAGAAGCTAGCAGCGTAAACTGAATGCAGATTTGTGTAATTTTAGGGCCAGTTTATTTCTACAATATTTCTAAGTTTCATTTATCATTATTTAGTAAAAAAAATTACTGATATGCATAAAATACGTGCCAACCGATGATAGACTTTGAAATGTTTGAAGTTTCAAACAATCTCACGGTATCTGCTGATCATATGTACAATGCATTATGGGAGAAATTCATGTTTTGCCCGTTCTGACCATGTGTACATGTACAATGCATTATGGGAGAAATAAGGTAAAGCAAAATTTGCTTATCGCCCCTGGAAGTCTATCTTGCAAAATTCATTGTGCAAGTATTTTCTGGCATTTAATTTTTGATATGGTCTAAACATCTCAACAGAGTAACACAGTTTCAAAAGTGACTAATAGTACTACCAGTTATAGTAGTTACACCCTGACACGTCACCTTGTATACTCAAACGTTTATCAGTCTCATCTGTTAGTGAGATTGAGTGGCAGTCCCCATGTGTATAATGTTATTTTAGTTGCTACAGTTCACTTGATAGGCTGGATAAACACGGTGAATGGTCTGTTTAAAGCTCACTGACTTGTTGCATTTCTTTCAATGATTTCCATTGGTGCATTGACGTGGAAACCAGACTAATCATGCATAGTGGAAAGTTGAGATGTGGTCAGTGTCATTCATTGCCGGCCGCAATTCCCTAAATAGTACTCTGTATCGGTGGCATTATTTTCAAATGCAGTAATATAGGTGTGTCCTGCAAATAGTGTGCTGTGTCAATTTCCTAAGCCATTTACCTGTGGTAAAATTGTTACAACTAGAAATGACCACCTGAATTAACCTTTTCACCACTAGTTCCCTCTTTTCACCACAAATTCACAAAATAGTCCCACTCATAGTCTGCACTTCCCTTCAGAAGATTGGGACAAAAATAGCTGAATTTTTGGACTAAAAATTGAGAAAGTGACTCAAATTTTGTCTGTTGGCTCCAAAAT